GGCGTATTTATAATAGTTACTGCAAAGTATCCATGCGCAAACAAGCATGTTAGTAAGTACCATATAAAAAATACATTACCAATTATTTTTAATTAATTTGTTCCAAATTTTGTAGTTTGGCACTTGATAAGAATATGTTGAGAAATGTTTGAACAGTATTTACGTATTTTTTTAAATCGAAAACGACCCGATGTGATTGTTTTTTTATATGAGCCAAGACTATCAGAAAAACGAGAGCAAGCTCATAGATTTCTTTAGCAATCTTTTCTGTTTATGGCATCGGTATCTGGTGAAGATATAACATTTCATGTGAGGGAGAAGTTAATACTATAAATGTTCTTCACTTACTTGTGGCAACTCCTGATGTCTAGAAACTGTTTTTCATTTAATGTCACAATATTTATGGCTTAAAACCAGAAAAGTAATCCATTATTTTCTAAATTTTAATTGTCCTTATGTTGCTATTCAGCTCAAGAGACGAATACTTCTTCGTTGAATACATGTTTCATGCATAGAATGTCTCAAAAAGAAAAAGGACACCAAAAATGAAAAATAAAGAATCGCGAAACATTCCTTTGTTAGTCATTACTGCCATCTAACAAAGCATTTTGAAATCAAACCACCGCGGCAAATATATCGAATTTCATCGCGAAATGTCGATATCTCTAACTGTTGCAGCGCTTCGGTACTCCACAATGCTTCGGCGATATGGACGCTATCTAGTAGGGTATCAATCAGCTTTCATACTCTGAAATCTCTCCGAATATGTTTACAAGATTCAACCACACAATTTTTCAAAATGGGGGGAAAAGCAAAATAATTAAAAATTAATTCTCCATAAACATTCATTTTGTTAATAATAGTGTATTATGTAATGAAAGTAAATATCCCGTGAACATGACCCGCCGCAAAATGTCGATATCTCGCATTTTCCGGAGCAGCAGTTTTGCGACGCCAACGCTACCTAGTGGGCAGAACGCGTACTAACTGCGCGAGCGCCGCCGCAGCGAAGGTCGTTAGTACAATCTGTGAGACTGCGGCGAAGGGCGCTCTCATGCGATTGCCCTGCCAATCGCATGGACGGAGGTCGCGTGAGGGATGAGATGGCGATTGCCGGGTCCCTGTGGGATTCCGCTGCCCCCACGAGGGCCTCGTCCAACTCCGAATGACCTCACTCGAGGGTGCTGAGAGTCCCACGCGACGCCCCAGACCGGAAATTGCTCCATCAGAGACAGCTCCTCTTCCTAACTGACCTTTTCAGGACATACGAACCCAAACCGAATTGATTTTCTTCAATGGATCGTGGTGCACTGGGTTTTAGACCCTAAACGGTCATTCGCGATCTAAAATTTTCAACTACCATAAACTTTCACAGCATCTATTTATAAGCATCTCCTCTGTATTAAAAAAAAGGTCTAGGTATCGAATTAAGCAAAATCAAACTTCATTTAATAACACTTCGCTAGGAACAAATTCATACATGATCAAGTTACTAACAAAATATTTGTCACTGAACTATCAAAAAGAACACATCAAGAACTTATTCCCTGTCTGTTTTAGGATGCATCGTTGATCATGTAAATCATAAACTTAATGTTAGGCTTTTATCACATTGTGAAATACATACGTATAAAGGATTCATTTTCCTTCACTAATGCGCCGAAAAAATATATAATTGACAAAATAGATTTGTATGTAAGTGAAAAATGTCATTCGGTAATCAGAAAACCGGTGAAAAGTAAATATGTACATTAAATATTCAAACAACTCAATGCTAAAACAGATAGCGCTAAAACAGCACGTACTTTCTCGCTCGTACTTTCACGCAAAATTACGCTAAAAGTAGTCAAATTATCGAAAAATTGTACGTGATCTTATTTCAAAATCTATTATCTCGAAATATATTTATTAAGAAAAATCTCTATCTTTAATATTTTAGCTGTAGGAAGACGCTGTATTATATAGTTTTTTCTCTATTGCATAAGCGGAAGTTTGTTATGAGTAAATAGATGTTTAATAAATATCGTACAAAATGGACAGTTTTATAGAAATTTACATGTAAGAGGAAAGTTTATTATCACCTACAAGTCCAGAACTGCACTTGTAGTGACTGCACAATAAACAGGTATATCCAGATTAAGAATGTAACTAACCGTACTTCAGACGACGAAGAAAGAAAGAAAGAAAGAAAAGAAAACGTAGGAACTGCGATCGGATTATCCTATCTAGAAAGAAAATGGTGGAAACCATTGGTAGTTGAGAAATTGAAATATTTGAGAACATGTCATCTTGTTGTGCAATGCCAAGCCACATTGCATTCAAAAGCGCAACCAGCAGATAGTTAAGCGAGCAGATTTGATAAATATTGACTTCTCATTCATGAAATGTTTCCTTTCTTTCCATTTAACCACAAATCGTCGGGCAAGAAAAATGACTCATCCAAACATTGCTATTTGGCAGGAGAATTTTTTTTATTTGAGCTAATCTGTTTATTTCACGTCCAAACACAAAGAGTATTCTTTAATTGTATGAAGTTCTCTTTACATCGGATGTTTTCGCAATACGTAAGCAATTTTTACAATGGAAATGTAAATTTTGTTAACCAAATTTCTTCACTTAACATTTTTTTATTTGTAATTTTTTCTTGTGCTCATAAATACAAAACTTAACGCAACTAAACTTTTATAGAAATACAAAACGTATTGCCGAGAATATTATGAAAACGCCAGGTTGTGTTTTCTTTCCATACCGTTTATATTTTTATTATGTTATGCGAAAATCACTAACAACGTACTGACGAAAGACAATTTGTTTGGCCAAATGGACAGATTAATTTGTTCTTCTTTATATTTGAATGTTTTTAAGAATATTCTTTTATTTTGAGATGTCAAATTATGTTAATTTCTCGTTATCACATTAGAATGTTTTTGTTAGTTTCACTGAAATGAAGTTGTATCATCTTTAATACCTTATGATAATTGATATTGATAAATTGCATACATTTCGTACAATAATCCGATAAATATAAGGAAGAATATCTATCCCCCTAAAAAAGATTTAGGATCCATTTAATAAATACGTAGTACTACTATTAACGGAATACGTTTGTCCACGTGTTACGAAATTGTTCAAGGGGGTATAGAACTGGTACGTATGCGTTTGGAAATATTGCCTCTTTTCAAGCCTTTTCGTTGAAGAGATGAGAAAAGAGCCTCGAAAGATACCGAGAAAAATCACCAAACATGTTTAACATAGGAGAACCTCAAATCAATATATTCCTGTAATTCTGTCAATTTTAAGTTTATAATAGTAGGTATGCAATTGGTTTATAATGTTAAGTTTTATTGCACAAGTACATGTTTTGAAAACGAACGACTTTAGGAGCGAGTATTCAAATTGGTACAAATGTAATAAAGCAACATTATAAACGAGTTGCATACTATATTTGTTTGTATAACAGCATTATACATTTATAAGAGAATCAAAATTAGTTTTGCGAAACAAATTCCCTGAGACGACGCGGGTATTTGACATCGTGCGAGTAAACGGTGGTCGGCTGTTCCGTTTAGCTCTACCTCCCCCCAATTCTCTCGCTACGATTGGCTGAATATGTGATGACGCATTCATTTGGGACATAAAATCTAATACGACTTCATTTATGCCGTAAAATGTCCGATTATGAATGATTTCTTGCAACAGAAAAGATTCTTTTATCATGCTGGAATACAAAAAAATGTATTATTTCATCGTGTGTACGTATACTTGACGGGTAGAATATTTTTGTTACTAAATTGAATGAATGGGGGAAAGAAAAGAAAACATTTTTAGACATTAAGAGACAAGATTTTTAGTTGTGTTTGTTGAACGACCCCTTATTGGTTTACATACATTTAGTTTTTCTTACTAGTTGCTTAAGCGGGAAAACCATTCCACGCATTTTTTGTATAAATGTGACCGTTTCGTTCCAGTGAGTTGTTCTCTGTTACAGGACCTGCACCTTGCAAAGAGCTGTCGTGGCCTGAAGCACGCGTCAACTCTCACCACGAAGTATCGCGAGTGTGAATGCTCCGGGGGCTTCTGACGACCCTTCATTGCCAGGGTTACTACACGAGTTGTAACTTCCGTTTGAAGCAACGAAGCAGCAATCATTGTACACTCGTCTGTGACTCAACTTTTTTGCTTGCATTCGGCTCGAGAAATCTACATAGTGCACTCTGATGAATTTGTCGATGAATTTCTCTCAGATCAACGTTATCTGTGTACAACTGAATGAGAAGGGAGATTGAACTGTGACAACTGAATTAGAGGAATGATTGCTATAAGCTTCACAAAGTAAACACAAATAGTGGAATTGAACCACTTTTTATCCCTCTCTAGGTTTTGAAAAGGCTGAAAAGTTACCTCGCGGCAATGTTGGAGAGAATAGAGGGGGTATTTGGTATATGACAAATTCTACGGTATATGTTACCACTTCAAGTCAGTACTGTGAATATTTGCCAAGAGCAATGTAACACGAGTGTTATGTTTAAAAAAATTCAAGCAAAGCCAATGTGAAGCGCCATGGCTCGTGGGAAGACAATGGGCCCTGCGCGCAGAGCAGAGCACGCGCGTGACTTAATTGTACCAAGAGCGCGGATTAGTGCAGCATTTCCGTAAGTAGTCGTCGCTCATCCGTTTCTCTCGGGAGTGTCAATCTAGGCCACAAACCTGTTATTTCCGGATTTCTCCTAGTGATTTTGCCATGTCTTAACGTCAAAATCATATTTATACGACGATTGTGGATATTCGAAAGAGATTTTACATTTTTTGGAGAGTAAAAGGGCAGAAATAAATGCCGATATAACAGAAAACAAGATTAACAATAAGTTGTTTACAAGATTGGACAGTTAAAGACTCAGAAAGGAGTCTGATTACATTTTGGTTTTGACTATTATGAAGCTGTGAGCTCAGAGTTAATGTGTTATCCTTTGACGATATTGACCGAGTAGGACCACCATTATCTACCAACGATTGTCAACATACTCATCAAGCTTTCCCTTTTGAAGAGCAAGTTCCACTTTAAAGAGTGAGATTAGAGGGGACGCGCCAGTAACAAGGTCGTTCTGGGGAGCACTTGTTCGAGCCGTTTTACGAATGGCTTGTGCAAGCCTGCGCTTGCGCTACAGCATGAACGCAACAGCACCATATGCAACCAATACCAGCAGAATGTAATCTGTACCGAAGTATGTTTTTTTAGGAGAACAAATGTATGCACGTTTAAAAGAACAGGTAAAAGATTTGCACGATATTCTTAACCCGTTTTCTCCGTTTTTGACTTAGTTTAACATACTCACTTTTTCGGAATTTCAATATTACCTCAAAATCTGACGAAAACTAACGCTGCGCCTTCACTATTCAAATGAGTGGACATTTTCAGTTGTTTCCGCATTTGGCATTGTATTCTATTCTGAATCAGGATCTGAAATGTTCTGAAATTTCAGATAGATACGATATTTAATACGTTTTCTCCTTTTAAAGCAAACTTCTGGATTCAAAGGATACTGTTTTCATATCATAAGTTTTAATACTAAATTCAATAATTTGAAGCAGAAGATTATAAGAAAACAACTGTAAGAATGTGATAGAAGACCAGGTCGAGGTTGAGGGTATTTAAATTTTATTAATTTCTTCAATCCACTAACTTCTAAACTGACATTCTAAGATTCTTCCAAGTTTTCGTAAAACCAAGGTTTTGTAAATGAGAGCGTAGTCTTTCATTTCAGGGAGAAATGTCATTCGTTCTCAGGAATGTCGCAGTACGACGGCCGAAACTTAGGCAATAATGCTTAAGTCGCAGCACATCTAGGGCAGCCAGGTATCAAGATATGTTTTAAAGTTACTATATAAACGTTATTCTACGACTGTATAAAAATGCGGGATATTGTGTACAGTTACGAACACGTGAAGATAGTATTTTCTTAAAACATCAGGAAAATGTGACGTCACAATGCAAAAAAGTACTTTTTTCTTCCCAGATGGCAAAAGAGTGCAGTACTTCTTTTCGATAACCATGAAGGATGTAGATGAAACGAGAAATGATTCATAATAGATAAATATTTATGTGATTGGAGAGAAAATTGTTAACATTTCGAACTATCTGTTTGACACGACAAAGAAACTTCATGGGGCTATAAACAATCTTTTTACTCAGTTAATATAAAAATAACTATTATCAGACTTTTAAGAGCACTGAATATTAGTTTGTTTGTTAAATAAACTTACAAGTCATTAAATTCACGTATAATATTGCCACAATTTTTTCTTACATACGGAATGAATTATTAACATATTATGACATATTATTCTGTCGAATAAAATAAAGCTCCGTATGTCCCACTTTTTTAAATGCCAAAAAATAATGTATTATTGAAAACAAAAGTTTGAAGAGAAGATGCATTCCCTTAAACATCACCTACAATAAACCTAAATAATAAAATTATCAACAATGCAGGAACATAACATAATAATTGGAAATATGACACAACTATTTAAATAACATCAGGTCATTTATTGCAACATGTTCAAGGAGTAACAACAACAAACATTCTTATTAGAACTTATTATAATTTGGTGGAAGAAGAAAATTGAAATCGGGGTCTTCGTCTTCATTTACAAAGTAGTTCGACCTGGAAAAGAAAATTCTTTGTGAATCATGTTTCTGGTCTCTCTTATAACAGCCATTACTCACAATAAGGAAATTTGATACTACAAATATTCTGTTCGTAATAAATTATAACGTTTCTTTCGTGCATTATCTTTAAAAAGAGCTATAGGTATGCTCATGTGAGAGGATGGGAGCTCGCGCCCCCATTAAAGTTTCGAAAGAGACCATATAGCCCTACGTAATCATTTTCTTTCATTATAAGTGATAAATTCCTTATTTTTTTCTTTTTTAAGCTAACAATTTGGGAAATTGATACTCAATATTTTGGGAGGAGGTTTTCCAATCCTTTTCATGATTCAACATAAAATTATATTTATTAATTGTATGATAAAAGTTGTAATTTCATTCTCTTTGAAGTGATTTATTTATTTTCTAGTAAAATATGTCATAAATGTTTAATGGACCTGGAGGGTACTAGAGGGATTCTGAGCTCAGAAATGTTGTTTTAGATTTCACACGCCTATTAAAACGGCACAAGGTAATTGAATACTATCGCGAAGTGAGATTAGGAAATAAATTATACTAGTTTCAATCCCAGCGATGGCGGTGAAGCTGAACATGGGGAGACGCAAATTGGAAGTGATGCCAAAAATCAGAATTAGAATAAGAAACACGAGAGGAATTTGAAGATGAGGAGAAGAAGTAGAAAGTTGTACATCACTCGAATTATTTGATTTCACTTGGTCTTAGCACAATATTGCCCACTAATTAATGTTCACACGGCTTAAGGGCTTCTGATACTTAAAGCTACTTCAATAGATATTCGAAATATGTCGTAATGATTCGTTAAAAGCAAATCAGTTCTAAAATATTGTGGTCATTTGGTTTCTTCATGGCAGAAAACTCTCAGAAATTTCACTGTTTAGTTAAACTGTGATATCTGCACCACTTGGAGCATTTCAAAAGCTGTCGTGCGGTTTGATGTATAGTAATCTTCAATGACCTCCTATACTAAGGTAGGTCGGTCTATTAATGGGCCTCCTAGGCGACGCTACATTCATTACCAATAAAAACGTTATCGTGGTCGTGCGGAAGTAATGATGTCATCTTAACGTAAGTATAACTATTCCAATCTTGATAGTCATGAACATGAACGTAAAGGAAAGCATTCATGGATACAATTAATGTATCAGTATAACAAATACTTCGCACGTTATTTCTGCAAACAATCAAATGACAGCAAGTAATGTGGACGCGGAGATGATACTTATTTCTTCTTAGAGAGCATGATGGGTAATTCTAAGAAGCGTTTCAGCTTCAATTAAAAGTGAGGATTGTTAATTTACTCTCTGAAAAGCTGAATTAGGTTCAGACAAACGAAAATTCTGGACGTTCTTTGAATGTTGCTACTTTGCTGGTGTATTTTTTCTCAAACCTCGTTCACGTAAATGTGAAAACTTGCAGTTTGCAGTCTCTTTTCAGGGGACGTTATTTGTCTCGTATATGAGAGAGGGAATTTGTTCTGAGTTTAGGTCAAACGTTTATTCATTTCCTACGGTCTCAACTATGTATTTAGCCTTGATAAGGGCAATGAAATAAACAATGTTCATGATGACAGTGCTATTTTGTATATTTTACTGCGGAGTTCAGTTATATTATATTATTGAATTGAATTGAATTTGCCTTATTTGTAATGGAAAATAAATAGAAAACTGTGTTTTCAATGTTTGGCCTAAATTTAATAACTTTTGTTTCTCAACTAATGTTCTAAAGTTTGTGTTTAAATATTTCTACTACGCATTTTAATGCAACGTATTTTATATTGAAAGTAAGCCATGAACGAAACCTCAGTCAAAGAGTACTTTTACTTCTCAGCAAAGATCAGGGCTCGTCTGCATTAGACAATCTTCCCCTGTTTACCAATATGAGTCCAAATAACTACCATCGGTGTTCAAGAAGTATCAAAAATTGCCATTTTACAGAAGAAAACTTTTTTGTTCTGAGCAGAACCGTTAATTTCGCGACAGTATTACTTTACAACTTGTCTTGTAAACTATCTACCATTATGACACACTTATCAGTGAAAATATACTGTTTTCTGAACATATTTCTTCACTCAGTTAAAAATTTATATTTTTTAGATATCACTTTTCTTGTGCACACATCAATATTGTTACGTCTCATATTTCTGTTTACGTTTTTGTCAATCATTCTGAATGGAGTGCAGTGGTGGATTAAGTACCAGATGACAACAGTGATGGCACGAGCACAAACTTAGGATCTCGACGGATATAAGCAAAATTGTGTAATAGTTCATAAATATTAAAACTATTTTATTATTTTCTGAGCAGCAAAGGTCTCATATTGATTACTTCTCGTTATATCGTATTTTAGTCTAATTAGAGGCCCCGTAGACATTAGTCCGCCCCGTTGCTCACCTGCGGCTGCGGTGCGCGTGACGGCCTGCGCGGCGACGGAGGTGACGGTGAGGGCGGCGCGCAGCTGCGCGGCGGAGGGCGCCGCGGCGCCGGCGCGCGGCAGGAAGCGCACGGACGCGGCGCCGTCCGCCAGCAGGAAGGCGTTGCGCGAGAAGCGGCCCTCCCAGTCGCCGGCCTCCAGCCACACGAAGGGCGCGGGCCGGTCCGTGCGCAGCGCCACCTCCAGCGCGCCGTCCGCGTCGGGCCCGCTCACCGACGCCACCTGCGCACGCCCACGCCCACTCCCCTTCAAGCGCAGCCTTTGCAATCGTTGGCTTCTTTTTTGTTATTGCTTACGACCACTATTGCGTGTAACGGTATGGTAACTGAGAGGATGACACGATATGATGATGATAGGGGGGTGAAATGAACACAATACAACCATGTGGGTGATCTGGGCTGTCCGTGTGACGCCGCGTCGAAAGCTGTGTTGCCGAACACAGGCTTCGACGCGGCGTCACCCTGACAGCCCAGATGACCCACATGACTCTGACCGCGGAAGCCTACGACTTCATAATACAACCATGCCCAAGGCGGGACTCGAACCCGCAATCCTTCGGTCCGAGATCGCTAAGGCACTTGTACCTTAGCGATCTCTGCTGTCCGGACCGGTTAATCATTAGTACGAGACCATCCACAATGGGAATATTGCCTCGTATGTTCGATGCTTGAGATTTTTATATGGTATTTATTTTGAACAAATTGAACAAAATTACAAAAAAAAGGGTTTCTGGGGGAGGGGGAGTCATGGCTTCCCATGACCCTTTTGGAGAAGCTACTGCATAATTGTCGCTTGTCTTGGGCGTAGAACTCGCGAAAACTTGAGGATATAGCAGATTGAACGTTAGACGAGGCAATCATTAAAAAATTATTAAAATAATATTTTGTTAACGGAACAGAGAATTACTAAAATTAGTTTGTTGTACGTTACAGAAGTAGTAGTGAGGAAAAGTGTGCGCTGTGCTACGCCGTTACCTGTTTGAGAAAAATTCGAACTTGCATTCACTCAATATTTCTGTTCTTCGTAGTTAAAATATGTTCAATATATCTTCGTTTTTTACTAAAAACTCGGTTATTTATTGATGGATGTACACACATGTTTGTACGTTGCATAATATTAACACAAATGAGTACAATTTACCTCCTTTTTAAATACTTTACCTCATGAACTCCGGATTCTTCATATGCCGTAGTTTGTACTGGAATGGTAGTTTCAATTCCAGTTACCTCGGGTAATTGGGAATCCATTTTGTGTTAAAAAATATTCCTTAGTTTGCTCCTATAAATTCTTAAAGAAGTCTTTGGGTAGTTGACGCAACATTAACTATCGTATTTGACCGCCTTTACATAAGTTGCAATGGATTGCAACACGAGTCAGTCATAACTAGGCTGGAATTACATACGTTTATGAACATTTTCTTAAAACCAATGCCTTCAAGAGCCACAATCAGATGCTTTAAGCTGATGCAATCTTTCTTTCCTGAAGTAAAAAAAACTGCTTACATAGTGATATGACAATTCAAATGAACAATCATGAAAGTTTAATATGTCTGTATATTTCGAATTATTGCAAAGACTGGAATGTCTTCTCGTTTGTCAGATTAAATAGATACTGTTACTGCTTATTTCTCAGGTGTCCTTGTCAGACCGGAAATGTTAGAGAAAATTGCATCAATCAAACATTGAAAGTCTAATTTTGCTGCTGTTAAGTCATTTTAATTAAGAATTATTTTATTAAACTCGCATTATACGTACCGAATGCACTAGGTGTATCTAATTAACCTTTTTTCGTTACAAAAGTTCCTTGTTTTATCCGCCGCAAACATCATATTTAATTGAAACAACAATATTAGCAAATTGGCTGAAGTGAGTCTGTCACTTACTTTTTCGTTTCCTTTTAAAGGCTTTCCTGTGTGTCCCAGTTCAACAATGTCTGCTTTTTTATGTAAATTTCTTGCCAAAAAACAATGAACCTATATTTTAACGAGCTATTAATTTGTTCTACTTGAATCCCTTCTCTCGCGTCTCGTGACATACTACATGAGTGCCATGATTGATACAGAACTACAGAGAGTGCATTTAATTTCCATATTCTTTCAAGGAGCGCTCGGAATAGAGTAGTAGAATAAACTATTCTTGAAAAAGTGTTCTTTAATTTATGACAATGTAATCAAAAATATTACAAGTATTAAACAACCCACGTACTTAGTGTACAGCGAGTTAACGTTGGTTAATTTTTTGTTATTGCTCTCGGTGTTAAGTAAAAAACTAAATATTTAATAATTATTTTAAGTCTGTTTTATGTTACTGTCTTCGATTCAACGTTCAAAATCTTTTCAAGCAAAAATGGGAAACTTCTGGAACTACGTCAAAATCTGTAACTGAAAATTACTCGTCGACTTTTACCAAACATTGGAATTTGTAAACAAAATAAACGCACAATTTATTTTTTGAACAAAAAGAAGTTACAAACAATGTATATACTTCAGGAGTATATGAAATTCTTCTTTGGGAGAATTCTCACTAATAAGAGTTTTACATTAACACTCATTAGTGATGTCAAGATATTATTGAGAATAGAACTCAACTAAATGTTTATGAGGGTTATGTGCAATGAAAGAAGAGAGCGTTTTCTATTTTTGAAGAAACTTTTCCATGAAGAATGTGAATACTTACGGTTTAGCATGCAAAGAAGACAAACTATTAATGATATATTCTATAAAATAATACACTTCACATTGCTAATCTCTGAACCTGACGTTCTCTTTGATGTTTAGAACTTTGAATATAGGACGAGTCTGCCAAGCGAAAAGTGTGGGGTGATAGTTTTAATGCAGGCAGAATCGCACAGTATATGCGCCGTTTACTTCTCACGGTAGCATTTCTTTGTTATATTTGTGATGTGTTTAAATAAAATTTCTTTGTACGTGTAACTTTGATGACGTTTTAATGACACAATCTTCCCCATCCTTCCCGTTCTTCCTAATACAAAAGAACAAGTCAAATATTTGAAATATTTTAGACCAAAAATTAATTACACTACAAGGACTTCTTCAAAATTTCTGACGAAGCTGAGGTAAGTAGTGTCTTTAGTGTAATTTGTATGGAGTTTAAATATATCAATTCAAATGCATTGATCCTTTAAAATTTCAGAATAAACAATCTATTCGGCTGAAACGTAAAAAACTTTCGATTTGATGGTATCAGTCAACCGTCGCGTATATTGCAGAACTGAAAATAAACAATAGATGGACCTTTGTACCTCAAGAGTTGAACCTATGGCCAACACTTGAGGGTGTCGTGAAAAGCAAGCACATCGTCAGAAACAAGAGCGTCGGATAACGTAGATAACTTACTCTATAGAAGGAATAAGATTGACAGGTTGCGAAACAAATGAATGTCATGTCGGACGAAGACATTGTGAGATGTAGTGTCGAAGCCAGATACAGGCGAGCCAACTGCAATCTAACGCGTCTCAATGCCTCTGCGAGCAACGCGTATACATAACCAGCAGTAATGTTGCCTCCAGTAGCCAAGCACAAGCTGTCATAGCGGTCCCTTCTTCGGGTAATCTTCGTTTACAGAGAAGCTGCACTACGAAGTGGCCAGTTTGACAGGTCGGAAATAAATTAATTTTACGCTGTGCAATGGCATTGTAAGAGGTAGTGTCGAAGCGACTTACAAGTGAGCCAACTGAAAATTCACTCATTAACAAATTGGGCAATGTACATAACATGAAATTATGTTGTGAGTAGTAGCCAAGCACAAGTTGTCAAAGCTGTCCCTTCTTCGGGTAATCTTCGCATACAAAGAAGTTACTCTAAGAAGTGACCAGTTTCACAGGTCGAGAAAGCAATTAATGTTATGCCGTACGATGGCACTGTAAAAGGTATTGTGGATGCTATTTACAAAGGAGCCAACTTCAAATGCACGCATTGACGAATTCAGCGCATGGACATAACATGGTTATGATGTCAGCAGTAGCCAAGCAGAAGCTGTCAAAGCTGTCCCTTCTTCGGATAATCTTCGCATATAAAGAAGTTACACTAAGAAGGGACCAGTATGACAGGTCGGGAAATAAATGAATTTTATGCTGTTTGATGACAATGTAAGAGGTAGTGCCGAAGCTACTTACAAGTGAGCCAACTGAAAACGCACCCATCAACAAATTGAGCTCATGTACATAACATGTAGATATGTTGTCAGTAGTAGCCAACACAAGCTGTCAAAGCAGACCCTTCTTCGGGTAATCTTCGCATACAGAGAAGTTACTCTAAGAAGTGACCAGTTTAACAGGTCGGGAAATAAGTGAATGTTATGCTGTACGAAGGCATTGACTAGACGTAGCGTCGAAGCAACCTGCAGGCGCACGCATTGACGATCTGAGCAGGGCCACGCAGTAGGCCAGGCCGCAGCCGCGAGAGCGCTCCGTACCTGGATGTCGGCCGGCAGGAGGCCCTGCGCGAGGCGCGGCGCCACGGGCAGCACGGCGCGCTCGGGCCCCAGCGGCACGGCGTCCGCCACGGCCAGCAGGCGCAGCAGCACGAAGCAGCGCTCGGCGGCCGCCTCGCACCCGCGGAGGCCCGCCAGCCACGGCGACACGTCCGCCGTCAGCACGTGCTGGCTGCCCGCCGCCGCCTGCCACATCGCGCGTGCACAACGCATCTTCAGTTGGCTTCTAGGTCTACACCCGTCTTATTTTGGGGTTTAAGTTTCTATGGAATAGCATTCTACGTTACACTTAGGAAAAGTCGTGTTCGAGGACTGAAAATGTACGATCCAAATTGAACAGGTATTTCTATTAAGATACATTACAATGGCAAACTAAGTAGATCTACATGTCCTCTTGTCCTAAATGGCAAATTAGGAAAAGGTGAGTATTGCTGCCCACAAAATAGACTCGTTACTGAAAAATATTTCACCTCTGTCATATGAAACATTTCTCTTAGCACATTGGTATTAAAAAGAATTTAATTCTATAATTTCCTGACATATTGTACTAAAATACTTTCCAAAAGGAAACCATCTTTACTAAAACATGTTCATTGAAATGCAGATTCCTTTATGGTCCCCATAACAGATTTCGAGGCTCTGAATCACTACGTGTAGGCAATGCACAACGCCCAGCGTATGTGGGCCACAGAAATACTCTAATTTGTATTATTGAATAAATGATTAATCGTAAACTTCAATTAATTATTCTTAGATTCCTTTAATTAAGGGCAGTCAGATTAATTCTGCTATTAAATGAGGATTTTAAAAGATGCGTATACCATTTTTTTATTTTACTTTACACAACTTTACGAATTTAAACCTTTAAATCCATCATCAGGTGAAACTGCGTGTACTTTATAAATCATAATTCATGAATCCTGGCGTAATTCAATTGATATCGAAAGCTTGTAAATATGGGCAGTGATTTTTACTCAGTGATTTTCCAAAATATTCTAAATATCAGAGTAGCCAAACAGTCAGTAAGGATGAAACTCTTCATATGAACTTAAATTTCATAACATACAAATTTTCATTAAAGGACTGTCAGACAACATCTTTAACGGATTCTTGGCTATCCGGGATGAGCCGCGTCTCGGTTAATTGTACTGACGTTTCGTCCATCTTGCTGTGGCCTTCTTCAGAGCTATACTGCTGAAGATATTTAACCTCATTTCATTAACTACATTTCGCTGCCAGACGCATTCCTGCGAGGGGTACTCGCCAGCGTGAAGACGTCGGAGATGTTCTGCCAGCCGGCCTCGGGCAGCGCGTCCCAGCGGCCGGGGCGCGCCTGCAGCACCACGCCCACCACGGGCTCCGGGCGGTCGTTCAGGGCCCACACGTGCACGCGGTGCGCCGTGTCCACGTACGCGGACGCCATCTGCGGCGCGAAGAACTCCCCCGCCAGGTACTGCAGCGGCTTCCAGCGGCCCGCCGAGTCTGCGGGCACCCATGCGATTGGCGGTCGTGGCTCCTGCTTCCAGCGCAGAGGCCAGCGAATTGCATTGAATCGATCCGAATCGAATCGAATCGATCCGAATCGATCCGAATCGAATCGAATCGAATCGAATCGATCCGAATCGAATCGATCCGAATCGAATCGATCCGAATCGAATCGAATCGATCCGAATCGAATCGATCCGAATCGAATTGATCCGAATCGAATTGATTCGAATCGAATTGATTCGAATCGAATTGATCCGAATCGAATTGATCCGAACCGAATTGATCCGAACCGAATTGATCCGAACCGAATTGATCCGAACCGAATTGATCCGAACCGAACCGAACTGAATTGAATTGAATTAATGCTTTATTTTACGTGGCGAGACTCAGGCCATGAGGCCTTCTCTTCCGTCTGACCACGCAAATTTCACTACACTCCTTTCACCTAGCAGAGAAAGGAGGTATTTCTTGGGCGAGATACGCGATTTGAATTTAGCTCAGAGGCGTCATTGAGGCTTGAAATGGCAAATGCCTCAGATCTCATGCGGTGTTTGTACTAGCTGCTTGAGGCGCGGCGGGCATTATTGATGTGGGTGGCAGGCGGCTCCACACATTCGACATTTCCCGAATAGCGGGGTACTACTCGCCCAACCCCGAGCAGCTAATGTGCTCGGCGAGTGTTCGCTTTCTCTCTTATGTCCAAAAGACCAACACGCGGTGGATAGTGTGAGCTCCGAACTTTTTTCGTTCGGCAAATGGGAAGCAACCCATCCACGCAATTCGGGATTCGGCGAGCAGTTGCCAGCTACTCGTCGAATAGCGAATGTGTCGAGCCGCCTTAAAATAAGAGGGGGGGTAAACGCACCAAATTCGAAACTGGGGAAAGTTTATTTTTTGGAACGATATTGCCAGTGAACGATATTACATTTCCTTGGTACTTGGGATTAGAAAGCTAGTAGTCCACTTTTAAGAGTTTGCTTCGTATTACAATTTTAATGGATTTGGAATGGGTTTCAAGTAATAACTGCATATTCTTCAGATTTCATGCAAAGTCTACAAGGTAAAGGTAACGGACATGAAGCAGTGTGAAATCGTCGTTTGAGTGTGGTGTCAAATTATTTCTTTACATAAAACTACATAAAACTGCATATTTCATTCATCTTACCAATCGATGCCCACGTAGGAGCTTGCCATAAATCGTTCAGCTGCCAGTACAAAGCGCCCATGCACAATCCCTCTCCGCTTGCCAGAAGCTGACTTCGCAATCGCCGGTAGTGCTCTGTCTGGGTCTGAGTGGCAACTGCCTGGTAAATCTGCAGGAAAAAGAATCCGAAGCCTCAGGGAATATTGTTCTGTATCCATACGTTTTCGGTCGCCCCTCACAAGGAAATGTGCATGTGGTCAGCCAAGATATTCAATTACATTCTAACATTACGGTGAAATGTTTGGGACTTATGTTTAATAATGTTTCTTTGCCCTTTCGTTGTTTCTCATTCCAGCATTAATACCTCATTCAACTACATCTCGTAGCAACTTACTCACTTATGTGTTACGTTTGGTTGCATTGTCATTGCAAAATCCATTTCTAATAAAATTTCAATAAAAACAGAATGTTCTAATTAAAAATACCATTACGTTTGCACGTCCAATGAGAAAATATAATTAAATGTCGTTCTGAGCCAAAACTTGCAGAATATATTAAAACCAGCTATGTCAAGATCGTAGCTGCTTCCAATAAAAGAGCTCTCCCATGTACGCGTCCGCCAACGGGAGGGCAGGGGGAGGGGGCGGGGGCGGGCGCACCTGCGTGAGGTAGATGAAGGCGTCGAAGCGCTGGGGCGTGCGCCAGTCGTCGGGCAGCGGCAGGCGCTTGGCCGCCAGCAGCGCCATCTCCGAGTAGCCGTCCGGGTGGTGGTTGCGCGACGCCATCAGCTCCGAGTCGACCGCCAGCTCGGAGGCGTTGGCCACCGCGGAGCGCAGCGTCGCCAGCGCCGGCATCGACTGGAAGCCGTACTCGGAGGCGAAGCGCGGCCGTCGGTACGTGTCCGCGTTCCACCCGTCCGCCACGTAGTCGTAGTAGTGCACTGCGCAGACGAGGCGCGCCATTCATCACACGGGCCCTGGTGCGGGATGCCAAGCTTCCGTCGTTCCGTCTCTCATGAACCAAGGAGAACGCGTTTAGGTGACTAATGACCGGGCAAGAGGTAGGAGTTCTATATAGCAAAGTCTGAAATGAGATGTCATACACTAAAGAGAGATTATTAATCAGCAATAAGGTTCGCGATATGTATATTACTGATTTCCAATGCATGTAGAAGTTGAAAGAATACCATATAGCCATAGAGATGTGACTGGTGTCCGTTGTTTCGTTGATTTTGATTTACCCAGGCAAATAAAAATCAATCAAAGTTTCAATTTTGACTGAAAAATGCAAACACTGGTTTATGTTACTCCGCCTTTTCTCATTCTGTGCATACCGTCTCAATTTACATTTTCAGAGCGTTACTGCTTGCGACACAACCAACGGCAAGCGACAGCAAGACTTAAAGGAAAATACCATTAAATATTTGCTCTTCATGTTTCGCGTTTGGAAACTAAGTATTGCTGATGAGTACAGAGCTATTAAACTGTAGTACATGAACTATATTGTTACTGCTGTGCTTGCGGAGACTGTTTTTTGTTAAAATACTTAATTTCTTGCAGTATTTTATTTGTTGTTCTTTGGCAGTGTGCGTCATGTTTTTGAAAAGCCATTTTGTTTGGTTTTTTTCAGCAGAATGTTTGCTGATGCAGATCATTAATTTATATAATAATATTCTTCGAATTTATCGGTAATAACTACATTTTAAAATTATTAATAATAAATAATTGTTATTTTTATTATCATTACTTAAAAAACTAAAATAAAAGAATTGATCCACTAGTTAGGTCCAGTTTCGTTTTAAGGGTTAAAATTAAGTACATATTAATCTAAACATATTTCATTATTTTCATAATGATGTAAAATTATGGAATTACTTTAATAAAATTAATTATATTTCTGTTTGTATGGGAGGTGTTATGATTTATTCTATCGTTGTGACAAGAGCAAAATTGCTGCATTTGCAATGCAATTGTAACGTCAAGTCTTGATCCCGAAGGTACTCCGGCAGGCACATCAGAATGCCAGATACAAAGTGACATAGATAGGCACCGCTAAAAATACTAGCAGAAGGAGAGTAGGACAGCCACAGAAGCAAGTGATGGCCAGGCGGGCGCCCGCTCAGAGTGGCCTGAAGTGATCACATGACCGCAAGAATATGCAAGCCCAGTAGAATGCAAGGCGATAATGCTTCCTGATACTCCCGCACTGATACGCAGAACTACACGCCCAGGGAGGAAAACACGTGTGCTCCCGGAATACTGCACCTACGCTGCACCGATGTGGGTGGAGGAGCTGCAATGGTCACAGAGTATTCGACCCAGTAGGCGAAAGAGTATGACAGGCTGAGCTAGAGTAACCTCAGAGTTTGTAAATATTTGTAAAATGTCTCGTAAAGAAACGTGAGTACAAAAGCGCGTTCCTTTGAGCATTTCGCTTCCACGTCGCCACACAATGCACAATAAGTGGTAAGACATTGGACCGCACTTACCATCACCGTACAACGCGTTTCCTGGGTTAGTGGACACGTAGCCTTCCTTGTCAGTCTCCAAGCCGTTGGACGGGCTGGACACTACGTAATCACGCGTTGGGTCGAGTTCCAGAACCAGCGGCCTGATGGTGTTGGCGTAGAGGTTTACGTAGTCAGATTTGTACTGTTGGAAATTGGCACCAGTCCCATACCTGTAAGAGAAATTTCAAATTTATGCAAAATTCGAGGTTCTGACCAGTCTTAACTGAATCTTCTTTGCGTGTTTAAAATGCTGAATCGACAGTTACGGCACTGCTGATTGTTGTAGGTTTTAGAGTTTCATATGACCGAAAAGAAGACTCTTTTAAATGAAATGTCGACATAATTCGTTACTTTTAAACTGAAAGTTATTTCACAACCTGCAAAGTTCGCTTCACGTGTTTTACGGTGAAAAGGAACACCTGAAACAAAGGCCCACCCACGACTGAAAATAAACCCCTGCGGACCGAAATGACACTTCAACTTTCTATTCGTTTAATTCCGATCACAAAAATATTACAGTTAACCCATACGATATACGTATTATTATAATTCAAATGTTTGCAAACACGTTTCAGTGAAGAATTAATGAGTTAAAATGTATTAATTGTACTTAGCAGGATAAACTCGTTAAATGAGCTGATGAAAATATTGTAATTCCGACTAATAGATCCGACAATGCTTCGCTATTGCATTGTATTACACTTTTCACGCTACTGGTCACGTGATTTTTAATCACGTTTTACTCTACGCTCTGCGAAAACTTAAGTAGATAATAGACTTACACGGGAGTAGGGTTTGCTCTATGTCCTGGTTTGGTCATGGTTATCTAGTATCTAATAATTAAAACGTCTCCCAGAAGTTGGGAATGCATTCGCTATGACAGTCTTGGAGAAATTTGATTTTCTTATCCTCGATAAAGTTCAAATAATAATTACGGCCGATATTTCGCAATCGCAGGGGCAGAATATGCAGGGAAGACGCATTCGCGGGTATTGATTGTGCAGCGGGTTGCGTAGAGCTTCTGGCCAGGGGCGCTTGAGTCGTCACCAGAAAACATTCACCAACAATGCTCCATTTTGTGTCTACATGTGACAGATATACGCACATTCCTATTGTAGTATGTCTATAACATTCGCGCAAGAGCAAGCAAGAAATTGAGAAAGTTTTATCTCAGCGCATAGAATACAAACGAGCATTGACTTTTATATTTTAGATTAGGTAGTACACGAAACATCTTCGATAACATCCGTAAATTATTTAAGTCATAGCTGCACGGTTTAAAGATTTTTATATTAGTAATCTTTGACCATTAGATATGGTGGTGGGATGTATTCGTGCTACCCACACGAACCCCTTATCCCAGGGCCACCGCTGGTAGGCCAAGGCCCATCTAGGACTGTGGAGTCAAAGGACAGGACAGGCATCTTTGGCATATCTTGTTTATGGTTTTGTAGGCTTCCGTGGCCGAAGTTTGTGTTGTCTAGGCTATCCGGGACGAGCCGCGTCACTGACATGGTGGCTAACGTTTCGGCCAGCGTATTGTGGCCTTCTTCAAAGTTCACTGCAGTAGCTTTGAAGATGGTCACAATACGCTGGCCGAAACGTTAGCCACCACGTCAGTGACGCGGCTCGTCCCGGATATCCTAGACAACATATCTTCTTTATCATCTCTTTAACATCTGAGTTACAGATCTACGAACGTAAATTCGAAAGCGCGTTTTCTCCAGCGAAACATTCCATTTCGCGCCCCTCGCCCAATCGGAAGCAAAGCAGGGGAACGCTGCTGGAGGCCACCCACCAGTTGTCGACGAGCGCGCCCTCGTTCTCGTTGTTGCCGGCCCAGAGGGCGACGCTGGCGTGCGTCTGCAGGCGGCGCACCTGCTGCTCCACCTCCTCCTGCACCAGCGCCAGGAAGGCCTCGTCCGCAGGGTACATGGAGCACGCGAACATGAGGTCCTGCCAGATGAGGATGCCCATCTCGTCCGCCAACTGCAACCGAGCACGTCTCTCAGCCACTCTCCCTCCCTCCGTCCCTTCAAACTACACTTCCCCGCATGAGTGAGAAAGGTAAATGGAGGAGGCAAAACTAGGAGGCACACTATGTAATATCTAACAACATTCAATTATTAATATAACTTATTAAAATAATATGAAATTACTCGAAAGTTAAGAAGTTTAAATAGAATTCACATTGATAAGAGATACACTTCGATTTTTAGTGAAATTTAAGAAGTCTGCTATTTTATGTAACATTTGTTCTAATAAATTAGCATGAGAGGTATGAGATAATGTCGTTCCATCCACTAACTGACTGCAGTGTTAGTAGGAAATAAACTCTTGGCTCAACGTCTGTGTAAATTTTGGGAACACGTATTAATTTATCATATTTTGGTGAAACAAATCAACATCTTATTTTCTTATCAGCGATGAGATTAGAGTTCCTTACATCATATTCACCAAATATTAATAACTTATGTCTATAAGGAAATTTTAATGTAAAATAAAAGTATAATTGTACACCAAATACAACTAATGAGTATATATATATATATATATATATATATATATATATATATATATATATATATATATGGGTCTCCCATCTCTCTTGTTTCGTTTCTAACCTCATCCCTTTCCTGAACTACCAGGATGGGGTTAATGCATGGTATATTAAACATGAAGGCATTGAATTTGGTCAGCGCCATTCCATAAATGCTTATCTCTTACCGATAATAGTGTGGAGCAAGCTTTGTCAGGTCAGTCATAGACGGGTTTCCGACTTACAGCTAACTGCATCTAGGCGCGGCCATGTGTACGGTTAGGTTGGCTACATGTGTAAGGTATAACAAGAGCAGTGAGTAAAAGGAGCCCGCGGGCTACATCGGGTGAGCGAATGGGGGATTTCGTAGGGACACATGGTGTCCGCACCTCGAGGTCAAGCTGTCCCTAGTCGGTGAGGTGAACATTGGAAATTACCACTTCTCAGTGATTCCCTCAAGAGCCAAAGTGATTAAGAAGTAATTAGGAATAGACACATCTATTATGCCATGCATCCTTAAGTTATTTTTGAGTAATATTTTAGAGTTATGTGAAAAGAAATCGCTCATTCTAAGTTACAAACTATATTTTTGATGCAAAGAAAAGACGTACAAACATCAAAGTATAAGAAAACATACAAAACCTAATGATATCAAATATTCAACCAAAGCGCACGAGAAATCCGGCAATCACCTCGTAGAAGAGGTCCGACTCGTAGACGCCGCCTCCCCACACGCGCACCATGTTGGTGTGGGTGTCGCGCGCAGACTCGAGGAGGTAGCGCACGTGGGCTGGGTCGCCGCCCAGCTCGGGCAGTACGTTCACTGGGATCCAGTTGGAGCCCTTGGCGAAGATCGGCCGGCCGTTGACGCGGAAGTAGAAGGTGAGACCTGCGACACGAGCTCACTCCACAACACTGCGAGGGGCGGGGCTCATACCAGGTGGGCTTCATAGAAATATTTAGTACAGTCGTTATACGAAACATTTAAAATGTATCGTAGAAAATAAAACTATTTTCTTCTTTATTTTGTACCCATTAAATAGGACTAAAATGAAATATCACAACGTCTGACAGATGTATATTCAATGTTCTTAACCGTTAATTAACAATGGTACCAAATTTGAGCTACCTTAATTGAATGATGATTTTTTTAAATAAATAATAAGGGAAGTAAGAGGTAGGGCAACCAGAGCATCCCATAGAAAATCCGCTTAAAAACAAATTTCACACGGGCCGACCAGAAATTGAACCCCTATTTCAGCAGTGGATTGTGAGTGGTTTGACCTCGATACCTCTGAAGAAAATGAAAATTTATTGAAAATGTCTTAATCAATTTTCTTTCACGCTTGTACGGTAGATTAAGTATTCTATAAATCGTTGCTGTACAAGAAAAATTACAGCTCTAGAGATTCCCCAATTTGGAATCACATAAAAAAATGTTTTAGTTGTTAAAAATAGTTGATTTTCACCAGTGAAAACGAAGGACTTGCGGAAGTAACAAGATAAGCTACAGCAAATCTCGCGCAATTCGTAAATGTTAATATCTCGATTTTGGTCAAAGTTCATATCATTGTTTTATTGCCGTAGACACTTCATAAATGAATAAGGAATTGAAGAGCCAAGTAGAACAAGGGGCTATCCCACATTGTTTTGTGAAATTGAGTTATTAGCATTATACAAAACTTGAAATATTATTCTTTTATTGTAATATGTTATTTAAATCCAGTACGTACTTGTATGCAAGTGTACTATGTTTAAAAGTTTAAAAATGGAGTGGGTTATATGAAGAAAATTCAGGTAAAATCCTCATTATCTCAGAACTATGCCTATGGGGGGTAGACCCTCAATTAAATATAAGATAAGCAAGAGAATAAAGCTAATTTTCAAAATGACATTTGGTTTGATGTACATGGTTATATCATTAGTGCTCACTTTTGTACAGAAAAGTCTTCATCAACTCACATATTAAGACCACGGATACACAACTTGTGTAATGAATCGAAGACCGTACAACCACATGGTAGTATCTGAGTAAATTATTTGTACTTCGAGGAGGGACAACATGAGTTTAAATACAGATTCGAATGAACGTTGAAATATTTTCTGAACAAACATGATAGTCGAATACTCTTGTCTTAATGAATGCGATTCTCAATAAGCACATACATAGTCAGGTTCAGGTCCAATGACATAAATTCACTTTCTTTTAGTAGGAGTATAGGATATTACCGTTTTGGAGCGACCCCTTGCTTCCTCTGGCAGCACTGACCTTTGTCTGCAGATCCGTAGTTAATGTCATTTTCCGAGACATTCAGGTGCTCCCGGAACTCCGGGGTTTCGGTGACGGGGTCCTGCACCAGCTCGATGGTGCGGTAGGCGACGCGGCGCGTCACCTCGGAGCTCTCGCCGCCGCTGGTGAAGGAGACGGTGAGCGGGAGGAGGGGCTGCTCGCCCTCGCCGTTCGGCCACCAGCGCGGGGGCTCCTGGGGGCACGCGGTCGCTGCTCTCAGCTTTCTTTTCTTTCTTAATTTGTTGCGTCTATTCACGCAACGCGACTCCTAGCTCCTAAGAGCGTTGAGCGCGCCTTGGAGTAATCCTCCGTTAATTATTGGAGTAATCCTCCGTTAATTATAGGAGTAATCCTCCGTTAATTATAGGAGTAATCCTCCGTTAATTATAGGAGTAATCCTCCATTAATTATAGGAGTAATCCTCCGTTAATTATAGGAATAATCCTCCGTTAATTATAGGAGTAATCCTCCGTTAAATATAGGAGTAATCCTCCGTTATTAATCGCTCAGCACCCTCTAGGGGCCACTTGGTAGTCAAGCCACGTCAGTCGCAGTCAAGTGAGGGAATCGCAGATAGGTAGCGTCTTCGAGCTCGCGTCTCGCACGCACTCACGGATAGGGGTAAGGTTTAGGATTGGACTAACCCCTGTGCAGCATGCTAACTCGTTTTGTCGTAACAAATTTCACATGAGGTTCTACGAGGATTCTACGGGAATCGACCCAGAGTTGGCGGGATCGTGGCAGGCGGGGGAAGGCACGGCCTTGCGTGTCTTTCAGCGCTGCAGCCATAGGCCTCAGCGGGCAGACGCTCTCAAGTGGAGGGGATTGCAAAGAGGTTACTATATTAACTCTTTAGTGAATACTTAGAATAATTCAAGGACTATAGTGGCCGCAAAATTAAAATATGTTATATCCCTCACTCATTACATATAATGTGTGGAAAAATGAAGGATACATATTTCCAGAGTAATTAAACATATTTATCCCGCATCACCAACTTGACATTTTAGTTGTTTTTTACGTTCAAAGAAAAAAATACTATTTGTCATTTTAATATGAACAAAATGTTTACCTTGGCTACAAATTACGTGTTTTTGTTAAATTCTGATAAAATAGGGCTGTATGTTTGGTAGTCGTCTTACGGCGACGAGTGATTTGAGAGCAGTATTTATATGAATTCTAGAATTTTACATTTCTGTTTATTCTTCTGTGAGCCAATTATTAACAGAAAATCCAAGATATAAATGGTTTGTAAGATTGAGTTTGGCATATTATTACACAAGAAACCTAGTAAGCATTTTACCATAAGACGAATTGTATTGCATATTGTGATGTAACAGATTACTCAAATTACATAATACAAAATAGTTACTTCAGTCGCCAGAGATGGTACAAGATCCACTGAAGAATGCCTGGGAAGTAACAATTTTCTTTCGTCGCAAATTTATTTCTACGTTCCTAATGTTGGTTAAAAAAGGAACATCAACATTTGTAATAAAGAAGTAACGTATTCTTGTAGAAAAATGCTTCGCAAATATTGGCAATCTCCTCTGTTTGCAACAAAACATTGCTGTTTCAAAACTAGTGAAGGTGATTTCTTTAATATTATTTACAAATGAATAAATTTATTTTGAAATAAAAGTTTATAATTTGAGTGTTACGTTTCATGTAAAGTAACCATTCTCCCAATCTATTCTTTTAACTTTTTTCTTACGCTTCCAAAATGAACAAAAAATCAAATTATGATATACCGCTAGTTGACATAATTCACTTCTTAGTGCACATGTCTGCAAAACTTTTTAGTACATACTTCTTCCTCATCGTGGAATATTACCGTTGTGTTCGTTGAAAAGTATAACGAATATCGAGAAAAATTTGTATTAAAATAAAACTCCTTAACAAATTTAATTTATCTAATTGATCACAAACTGTTTTCATTTATTCATTAAATAGCATAGTAGCACAAGAAAATCTCAAGTACACAAGCGAGAAGATTTCGCACATAGTGTTGAAATTCAACACGTCATTGTAAATATTCAATAAAAAAGCAATAATTTCAAACCATTGTTACAGCGGGAATAAAGAGATAGCTTTACTTTTCTTGTAAGGGTTTGTTATTGAATGAAATTCTCGTTGTGTTCACAAGTACAGGTACCCATTACTCAGCTACCAAAAGGAATTTTACTTATGTACACAAATATAGTGAAGGAGTAAAATCGAGAAGATCACATCTTTATTCCGGAAAAAAGTTGACTATCAGCTAATTCACTGGAATCAAATATCTGTCCTGGACATTGACGTTCAAAGTTCCTTGGCTTCCCCTGACGCACGTACCAATTGCGAGCTAGTAAATTTGACTCGCACCATTTTTTTTTGGACTCTCCCGTTAGATCATTTAAAGCATTAATTTTCTCCAGATGCCTCCCACTCCCGCACCACCGTTCCGCCGTCGCCCCGAGTCAGCGACCCCCCTCCAGATGGCGCTGTAAGTGCACCGGAAGTGCCTCCGCTTCGCCCGTCGCCGCGCCCTCGACCTACGTCGCGCTCTCGCTTTCGACGCAAAAAGCCAAGAGCGAAAGGCGCAACCAGCGAGCGCAGACGCCGCGGCTCCCACCTGTGACACGCGCAGCGAGGAGGAGCTGCTCTTGGGGCTTGACGACTGTTATGCATACAGTATTCCACAACCGCGTAATGCACCCGCTATAGTACGAGTGCAGACATATAAATGTAGAGCCTTCATTAATCATAAAAACGTATACTGTCGACCTACTTTCAGAACATTCGTTCGTTGGGGACACACTTTGGAGTTTTTTTTGTGCTTATTATGCAAGATCGTGCGATTCAAAATTTGAACTCGAATACGGAAAGAAGCATACTTATATTCAATTCAATATTGGCAAACTGGTAAGCCATGTACGGAATTTGGTTTCCTTACCACCATCACTGAAAATGTACAAGAAAAAAGCTAATGTAGAAAGGGGGAGTGATTAACTCTTAGCAGCATTTATCAGAATCCGAAATTATATTCATCACTTCATATCTAGCTCGGTATCTGGGATCTAGGAAGTCAGCCAACAAAATTCGATAATTCTACTCATGTATGGTAAAATCTAATTGATTATAATTGTAAACATGTGATGAATTGTAAACATGATTATAATTGTAAACATGTTAATTGTAAACATTATTCGTCGAACACGACCGCCATTACCTTATTACCCCCCCCCCCCGACTCAGGTGCAAAACCAGGGATTCATTTAGAAATGGGCGTTGATTAAACAATCAATCCTAAAAATTTCATTTTTTGAGAAATTATGAAATAAACTAATTATTGAAAGATGGATGTTACAGCCGAATGCAATTAAAGCTAATTAAACATTATGTAATTGATAATAAATCAATAAAATGCATTAGGCTGAAAGTAAATGCAAATGCAAGTACATTGCGGTTAACTCTGTACGATTTTCGAATGTACGAACAAATTTCACGATCTACTAAAGAACCGGAAGCAATTCCTTGCCCAGTCAGCTAAGAAGCTGGCTACTAAGAAACAAATGAACCGACCGCTGCGGCGGTAAATGCTCAGCGTAGAACGAAGGGTTATAGGTTCGAATCCCGCGTTGGGTAAAGAGGTTGACAAAACCTGCTTGAAAATTTTAATCTGATTAAAATCTGAGAAATTTCCCGCAACGATTTGCATTGCGAAACCAAAGAGGACGAGATGACATATGAGTAGGGCCTAATCCTATTCAAAGAAAATTTATATATTCTTTTTCTCAATTTTTCTAAGACGTATACATCGACACGACTCAGCCGATCACAAATAGCGGACTTTTATAAAATCTCAACCGCGTTCGTTACTTGCCCGTATAACGGTAAAATCACGTGCAATTTGATTTTCATCGGCGCCTGCTCCGAGCGTGGGCGCGGGCGTGGGCGCGGGCGCGGGCGCGGGCGCGGGCGTGGGCGTGGGCGAGGGCGTTGGCGAGAGCGAGAGCGAGAGCGAGAGCGAGGGCGTGGGCGAGAGCGAGAGCGAGGGC